ATTCCAAATGTTGGTCGGCGGCCACCTAGTGCTGGTCGGGAGGTCTCGCGGGAGCGAGATGGGTCACCCTGGTGTGAAGTGGTTCGGTGGATGTCATCTTCCGTGGTACGCTCGTTGAAGGAGGTATTGGAGCGGGTGAGCGTTGCACGGCGGCCATACGAGTTGAACTGCTGCGTTGGTCTACTCCCGTTAGCAAACATCATCTCGAAAAAAAAAAAAGGGAAAAAGGAAAAAATGCACGCACCCAGCAGGCCAGTCATCCTTGAGCTGCAGCAGAACTTCTCTGCACTTATCGTGGTAGTTCAACTGGGCATCCAGGAAGGCACTCATGTCAGCTGTGCTCTCCGGTTCGGAATCCTTGATGTCCATCATGCGGCGGAGGACTTCCTCATTCGCTTCTTCATATTTCAGTTTCTGCGATCGAAGCTCCTCCTCCACTCTGAAATCTTCACGTTTTGCCTTTTGCATCTTCGCCTGTGAAGTGTCGTATGCCAGACGACGGGTTTCTAGCTTCTTACGGGCAGCCTGTACACACACACACACAAGTTAGAAGAGCAAGACTACATACAAAGGATGTATGCTTACCTGGTACTCCTTTAACTGGTTAAGGGACCGCTCCAACGACTCTAGCCAGCTAGAGGTTGCAGCCACGACGTACTGTTCCTGTATTCTGGAGATGCGTTCGTTTGTCCTTCCAAAAGCTGTCTATCGTCAGCAACTCTCCCGACATATCTCCCAGAGCGAGAATGCGTGTGTGAAAATTACCGGTAAGACACTGGCCATATTCAGAGTTACTGGCGAAATCCTCGCCATGACCGACCATGACGCTTCCCAAGTTTCCAATTGGGAACAGCTTCTCCTTGTCTTCGCCTTCGTTGCGTTTCGAGATTGCCCTGACATAGGCTCCCATCGCCTTGTGAAGGCGTTCCATGCCTATCAGACAGAGTAGTTAGCACAAGTTTCGTCACTTCTTCATATTCCTCCATGTTCCTCCGTCGAGATGATATTCTACCTTCTTGTCTGAGATTCATCTCCATTTCCAGCATCTTGAAGTCGTCAGAGACGTTGGTCTTGATCTCGCCCCCCATACGCTCTCCGGCC